GCCGTTGCGCCATGTCAGGCTCTTTTGCCGGCGAAGAGGTCGCATGTTGGATCGGACATCCTTGACAACAGCCGCAGGCGGGCGTAGTACGTATGCACATGGCACTGCACCTCGCGCCTCAGATGATAATCCGGTCAGTCGTGATTCATTGGTGCACGATTCACGATCGTTATCACCGAAAGGTCAGGGATAAATCCCGCCCAGCATTGTTTAGCTCGGTTTGAAGGCTGCGGAACCAATTGTAAATGCTATTTTATAAACCGGCAAAGCTCAGTCCAATAGTCTCGCAACATCCAAGATCTGGCGCCATGTTTAATGCCCACCTCGCTAAGCCATTGCTAGGCCGTGCGGGCCGCATTGTCGACCATCGCCGGTTGACGCATCACGTACCAGTTTACATTAGACATCGCATATACAGTCAGACAATGGCCAGCCAGCTTTTGCAGGCAATTTTCTCGGTTCATGGTTGCGTTCAGCTGTATCTTTTAGCAAGGGACAGATACGATCATCAGCTATGCTGAATTCCGAACCGGATTAGAACAGAGAGGGGGACAACCTGGTGGCGAACTGCGGCTGGCGAGCACTCAGCAACAAGCAGAAGCCATTGATGGAGATTGTTCAGTCGATTGTTTGCTATGCAATAAATCTCAACTTGAGACATGCAGGAAAAACATTGGGCTACCGCTTTTTTCTGACCACGAGCAGTGCCTAAAAAGTCGGGTTTTGTTATGATAGCTAATGCTCGCTTCATCACGTCATTTAGCCGGTACGTCTTGGTATATTCCAAAACCTCCTATATGTAACTCAACTTGCCTATCCACAAAGTATATTAAAGAACCTCCTGTGTGTAACTAAACTTGCAAATCCATGAAGGGCATCACGCAACATGCCTACCAAACATTAAAAAATACGTGATGTCACAAAGGAGGCCGCGTTGCATATGAATAAATGACGGAAAACAGCGTTTCACAATCAAACGGACCGCATTTGCCAGACGCGACCACATCTTGCGCCGACAGTTCTTCACGTGTGTGATTCCCCAATCGGCTCGAGGCTTCGAGCTGCTTTCATCGCCAGACGGATGGGAACGCAGACAGGTTAACAAACTAAATCAGACTAAAACAGATGGCGGAGCAATGCTCAGAACTCTTCGCCGAAATGTTTGACAAGGGACATCGCATGACTCGCGAGACAAGCACTGAAGTTTCGTGTGTGCGGCTCTGGTAAAAAGTGGACGCATTACTTACTTATCTAGTAGAGAGTCGTGTTTTGTTACGGGTATGTTCCAATACCTATGACACCGTGAATAGTTTTGAACTTGGGAGGCATCCACTGCGAACTTGCATCAGTAGAAATATATGACCTTGATAATGGCAGTGTTATTCGTCAAAGGAGGACGGGAAGAGTGAGACAGCAATGGCTTTAGTAGAACTTGCCGACAAGGGAATCCATAAGCGTGCAAGCAGCATTGGCGAGTTTCTGAAGTGCAAAATGCCGCATTCCCTAATTCGAAGGGTGTTACGTGAAGGGTATGACGAGTGTTCAGCCGCGTGTGACAGGTTTTCCTAATTCGGAGTGTCACGAGAGTGTCCAGCCGCGTACGACAGGCTTCCATAATTCAAGGAGGCACACGAGTGTCCTACCGTCTAAGGCAGGTTTCCCCACTTCGGAGGGTCACACAAGTGCCCAATCGCATATAGCAGGTTTCCATAATTCGGAGGGCCACACAGGTGTCCAATCCCATATGGCAGGTTTCCATAATTCGGAGGGTCACACGAGTACCCAATCCCATATGGCAGGTTTCCATAATTCGGAGGGTCACACGAGTGTCCAGCTACAAATGACAAGTTTCCCTAACTCGGACGAGCACACCAGTGCCCAGTCACGTATGACAGGACTCCCTAATTCGGAGGGGTACAGCAGTGTCTAGCCACGTGTGACGGGTAGACTCTAGCTAGAAGGGGTACGCAGGTGTCCAGCCGCCTACGGTGGGTGTGCAATGATGCAAATCAGAGAACGTACAAGAGTTACGCCTCAACGATTCACTTGTGCCTTCATTACTTGATTGGGATTTATGAGTTAATTTAGTATTTTACGATCTAAGCCGAAATAAAAACACGCCGATTACTTACAGCATGGCGTACGCACACTTACCGTCCCAAAACGATAATGAAACAGAAAAGAAAGAGAAGCAAGGAGACTATGGTCACCGGAAGCGGTACAAGAGAGACAAATAACCGCAAAACAGGCATCAAAACAATATGAAAAGTAGGAGAATAAGGGATTGCCAAAGACAGTAATAAGTGGGTGTTAGTTTATGGGTCCGAGGTAATAGAATGAAACGGTGTAACACAACCAAATACCACCATATCGGATTTTATGTTAGCACCAAAAGCCTCGTTAAACCCCGTTTAACACCCAGCCTTCGATCGTATCTCGCCCGAACACCATGGCTTAATGCTAAATCGCCAAATCTTAAATGGCGGCGCCACTTCTCGCCTCGGCGGTCGGCGAGAACAAAAGAATGGGTCTGTCGGCAACTGATCCCGCCGGCGATAACACCACACCGCGGCGTCCTGACCGATGGCATCTTCACAGGCCCGCAGAATATGTCCGAGTTATGAGAGCTCGCAATGACTGACATGTGTACGGACGCATCAGATACGCGGTTGGTTACTAGTCAGGAATGTGACGCGGGTCATTGCGTTCACTTCCAATAATGCTGGCGATGAGTCGTGAGTGCATGGATGGGTTTTTAATTGAGTACACACACTCAGTTTGGGAGCTTTCAGATTACGCTTTCAGATGTCACCCATAAATATGGAACCAAGGCACGGAAATAAAAAGGCAGCCGATTAAGGCGCGTTTCCTACCGAATTAACGGCACTGAAGACTGCGAAAACAATATTAGAGGTCCCTAGACTGTACTTTTACAGAACGCCAATATAAAGCTGACGTTGATCCCGTTTTTTCCAGAACACACCTCAGACCCTGACGCCAGTCACGCCCGGTACTGTATGGCACTGAGCGTCAGCACGCAGCCGCAGACAGGTCTCGGCTCTCACGGTCGTCACCGAAGTCAGTGGCCGGACAGAACAGCTCGACCAGGCGTGCACGACAAGATCTGAGGGTGTCAGCGGCCGGCGGTACACGCCGACCGACAGCGGATGGTCACGCGGCTGATCCAGCGCCATTCGAGAGGCCCGATCCCGACCCCTCGCGAGTCTCAAACTCGTAACCCTCGCGGGCCCGATCCTGCACCCCTCGCGGGCCCGATCCTGCACCCCTCGCGAGTCCCGAATCCGTAGTTCTCGCGGGTTCATATCCTGCACCCCTTGGGAGTCCCGAACCTGTAGACCTCCCGGGCCCGTTCCTGCATCCCCGCGGACCCGATCCTACACCTCTCTGTTGCCCTCGCGGGCCCGTTCCTGCATCCCCGCGGGCCTGATCCCACATTTCTCTGTTGCCCTCGCGGGCCCTTTCCTGCATCCCCGTGGGCCCAGATCCTGAATCCCTCGCGGGCCCGATCCTGCACCCCCACGCGTGCCGACTTTGCACTCGTCGCAGCGCGGCCCCCGATCTCATGATCACGACAGCCCAGCGCGACGCTGCAAACAGGTCCTGTAGTCCAGGTCCAGGTCCAGGTCCAAGACCTGTGGTCGTCCGTGTGACGTCAGCGGCCTCGTATGCTAGCGTTTCTGACGTACAAGAGGGCGTGCCTGTAACCGCAGATTGAGACGAGTCTCAAATCGCAGGTCCCCGCGGTTGGGATTAGCTCTTGGTCGGTGCAAGCAATGAGCAGGACCGCCTTTTCAAAGCGTATGTCATGAAAGATGACGTCTTTCTGACAGGCGCATTTTTTGTGCTCACAATAGAAGATATCGTGCCTGATTAGTCCTGACTTTTTCGCAGTGTCCCGCTCTTAATCTTAGCATTACAGGTATTTGAATTTTTGGTATAGAGTCGCATGGGCTGTACCAATTCGGAATCAATGTGATTTATAGGTATGTAATTATCATCAAATGTTGCACGAATGGCCCAAAATAGTGCTGCTCACTTGACCATACGTCAAAGGCAGAGCAATCATGACTTTACCGACCAGCTGAACACAACTGACTAGCTAGTTATCAGTATCGATTCTGAGAATAATGCAGCCTTTGCAACCTGAAAACAACCTGCAACATACAGGAAACTTACAATGCACTTCCAAAAAGTGTACATAACTAATCAAGGACATACTTCTACATCTACCCAACCAACCCAAGGAAAAGCATGATACATAACTGTTGCACGAACTACATTGTTAACTTAAATGCAGCCGACGAAGACGGCATTCTGCCGCCGCATGCGCACTGCGTGATTTCGTGGTGCGTGTACAAAAATAGTCGTTTCCGATGACCATTCAAGAAGGCAGCTAAAAATTCAGATTTTGCATGCTGCATTTAGCGCATTATTACACGTCGAACATAGCAAGGCTCTTCTACGTTTACAAATTTCGATATGCTTAAGTGTTGTATCGCGAAACACAAATTTTCGACATTTGCCGCGACCTTGATCCAAGTGAACCAAATTCCTATCGAAGGGGCCAACTGACCGGCGCAGAAAGTCATCCAAAGTCCCCCACCGACGCCAACACACGAAACAAAGTTTGTAGCATCAGCCCCGATGCAACCACGCTTATCGCATGTGCAGTACATCATATGCGAGCGTATCCCCCAGCTGCTGGCGCAGTTCAGCACCACGGCCCGCGCGGCGAGGACATTGTTAAGAGCGGCAGGAGCATACGTGGCGAATAGAGGAAAAGCAGGAGCATACGTGGCCAACAGAGGAACAGCAGGAGCATGTGTGGCCGATAGAAGAGCAGCAGGAGCATACGTGGCCAAAAGAAAAGCAGCTCGCAGCAGAACAGAATATGATAATGCCGCATCGCTTTTTTACGCAGCGAGCACGTGAGCGCCTAATTGAGACATCATTTCGAGTATCAAGCTGACGTGTCGGTCAGATATCCGAGCAACGTGGGATGTGCTCTTCAATGCACTCCGAGTCCGAAGCGAGCATGCCCGACGGTCGGTTAATTTCCGTGTCATGGCCGAATGGAACAGCGCTCCAACAGAGGACAGATCTGCAACGAGCGCGACATGTCGTGTGCGAGTGTCGGAGTGGATCGAGGGACATGCTGCGTGCGGGTGTCGGAGCAGATCAAGAGGCATGTCGTGTACGAGTGCCGGAGTGGATCGAGAAACATGTCGTGTGCGAGTGTCGGAGTGGATTAAGAGGCATTCCGTGTGTGAGTGTCGGAGTGGATCAAGAGACTTGCCGTGTGCGAGTGTCGGAGTGGATCAACAGCGGTCTGGAATACTTAGCAATTAAATTCAGACCCTCCTGCAATGCACGATAGCTTTGATATTGCAGATTGTGGTAGCATATGTATTCAAACACGCCAGACCCGTCGGTTCAGCCCGGTTCGTCTACTCACCGCATACGTTCATCCACCCCTCGATCCGGCAGGGGAAGTCCAGCCAGGAGGCTCGCCTCCGACCGCGGCGATCCATCGCGGGTGGCGGCTCGTCCCCTCGGCCCGCTCAGAGCCGGCGCCGGCCGGTCCCGCACGCGCGCGCACGCGGCACCACCCGTCACCTCCCGGCCACACCAGCACTCGGGCACCACTGCACGCGCTCGTCGCGGGCTCGCTCACGACCTCAGGAGGCGCGTTCACGCGGAGGACGCCCGGCCGGCCGGCGTGGCGGGTATCCGGGCCGGGACGTCGCTCGGTTTGTTCCGCTCCGGGCCGCCGCGGGTACGTCACTGACCGATGTCCTCGCGTCGGTCGCCGTCGGGGACTGTCTGAAACGACGGCAGGGGACGGGTCAGCAGGTGAGCGCAGGCACGCCGCGTACTGTCGCACACAGGTATCAGGGACTGCCACCGCAACGACCGCGGGGCGCGGCCCGCTCGCTGCTCTTCACCTGCGGCCACGGTGCACCCTCAGCCTCACCTCACCCGCCACCGCCAGGCCTGTCTGAGGGTCGTGAACTGACGCGGCGCCTCTGCGTCTCGCACCGGCACCGCCCCGCCTTCCGTCTCGGCGGCCGCCAGCCGACTGGCGCGTGCAGACCGAGCGGCCGGCGGCGGCGCTCGAGTACGCCGTCGGCCGGCGCCGCGCCGTGGCGCCCGGGATCGGCCGCGCACCGCTACCTACAACCACCGGAAGCGCGGCGCCGTGGACAATGGCTCGTTAACCGGTGACCTAGCCTGACCCTCCGGCGACACGCACGCACCAAGCCGGGCCGCGCGCCGACGGCGGTAGGGAATAACGGTGATGGCCGGCGGCCGGCGCGCCGGGCTCCTATCCAATTATTACACGGGATCAGGTCGGGCCGCGCCGGGCCACGGGCCGTCGGCAGAGTGGCTGTCGGAGCCAATGACGGCGAAAGGCGCCGGCCCACCGAAAAACCGTTTACCGGAATGTGGACTATTTCAAAACGACGGGCTGCTCCAATAAAGCAGATGCAGGCCCGCGTCGGCGTTGGTGCCGTGCGTGCCGCGGAGACAAACGAGCGACGGAAGCGCGTGACCAGCTCTGCCCGGCGGACATTGCCAACCCGGCACGGCGGACAATGCCGGGCGGATCTGGCTGCACGCACGCGCCATCTAACCTCCGTGGGAGTGATGAAAGATCTCAAATCGTATCTTCCTCTCCAACGGTCACTAGCAATGCCGACACCCAATTTTCGGCGCGGGGGACGGTTTCCTTTCAAGCGCGTCAGCTCCCACCCTCGGATCACCACTTCTTCACATTCAGATCGGGCGGCTGAGAGCACCCCCCACATCCATTCTCCGCCCCCTCCAAGCACACCATCGAACGCACGGCGGCGGCGCCGCGCCGCGCCCGAAGGCCGGCCGGGGCCCGGACGGCAGCCCGGGCCGGGGCCGGCGCCAGCGCCCGTTGTGGCCCGATAACCCCCGCCAGCCGCCGCCGTGATAGACGGCGCCGGTGTGTGCCGAGCCCGGTCCGGCGCGCTATCCGAGGCCAGCCGCCCGACGCTCAACGGACCGGTTGTTTCTCCACCCGCGCGTGATTAGGGAGTCGTGCGCGGGCGCGGTGTGACCCTGCCCTGCCCGATAGCGCCCTGCCGCGGCCCCAGTCGCTGGCCCATGCGGCGGCGGCGCTGCCGTACTTGCGACACGGGGCCCGTGGGAGATACGGAGGCGGGCAGCACTCCTGGAGACGTCTGCGTTCATCACGAGAGGGCCTACCAGGAGTTAAGAGGATGATATGGGTACTGCTCCCAGTCTTCTAACAACGTTGAAATGCCGTGTAAAAGAAGAAAAAATTATCTTGCATCATAACGGCCGTTCAAGGAAAAAACGTTATAAACCGTTTTATAGGCAATCAAAGCCAGGCATAAATACGCCCGGAGACCCTGTCATGGCTAATCGGCGAAAACCTTTGATGTAGGGGCTTAGCGAGCATTCCTCGAGATCGAGGAAAACCGTTTCAGCGTTCCGAGCACGCGCAACAAGCCAGACCGGACGTCCCAGCGGCGGCTATCGCAGGATCTAGCACACACCGGCGAGCCTCTATCCCAGCGGACCGGATGCTGATGTGTGTGCGAGCCCTTTCCATGTGGCGCGACTGCTGGCGCTCCTCTGTCAGCGCCCGGCTGTGGCGCGCGATCGCTATCGCGCGCCTGACGTGTCGTTGTATCCAGTCTGACAGCTCGCTGCCAGCGGAGGCCACCAGGCGAGGGGCCAGACGACGGAGGGAGGGGAGGGATAATTGGGGACCCCCTCATAAGCTGATGATGTCATGCCATCGCCAGGTGCGTTCTAGTCACCGAGCGCAATGACGGACCGCAAGCGTTGAATTAAGACACGGTTCACGAGCTGTGCCATCCCAGGCAGTCAGATCTTGGCAGGGCAGGTCCCGGTCGCGCCCGCCCGCTCGCGTGTGGAGCGTCGTGTCGAGAGGGGTAACCAGAACTGACTGGGAGGGCAACCAGAACTGACTGGGAGTGTTGGCCGGGGCTGAATGGAGCGGTGGTCAGAGCTGGCTGGGTAGTAGTGGCCGGAGCTGACTGGGAGGGGTGGCCAGAGCTGGCTGGGAGTAGTGGCCGGAGCTGACTGGGAGAGGTGGCCGGAGATGACTGGGATTGATGCCCGGGGCTGACCGGCAGGTGTGGCCGGAGTTGACTGGGAGAGGTGGCCAGAGCTTGGCTGGGAGAGGTGGTCGGAGCTGACTGGGAGGGGTGGGCCGGAACTGCCTCAGAGGGTGGCGGAGCTACTGGGAGAGGTAGCCGGAGCGACTGTAAAGGCCGCCGGAGCTGACTGGGAGAGGTTGGCCGGAGCCGACTGTAAGGCCGCCGGAGCTGACTGGGAGAGGTGGCCGGAGCTGACTGTAAGGGCCGCCGGAGCTAACTGGGAGGGGTGGCCGGAGCGCTGCAAGGGCCGCCGGAGCTGACTGGGAGGGGTGGCCGGAGCTGCACTGCAAGGGCCGCCGGAGCTGACTGGGAGGGGTGGCCGGAGCCGACTGTAAAGGCCGCCGGAGCTGGACTGGAGAGCGGTGGCCGGAGCCGACTGTAAGGGCCGCCGGAGCTGACGGGAGAGGTGGGCCGGAGCCGACTGTAAGGTCCGCCGGAGCTGACTGAGAGAGGTTGGCCGGAGCCGACTGTAAGGGCCGCCGGAGCTGGACTGGGAGAGGTGGCCGGAGCCGACTGTAAGGCCGCCGCGGAGCCAGGGCCCGATCCCGCGGCCAGCTCCTCACGGAACGAAGTCGCCCAGTACGGCGCCGCGGCCGGGGAGCAGGAAGGGTTGTGCCCGGCCCGGCGCTTCTGATCAATACTGAGGGCTTCGCGCGGCCCGGGGACGCGAAACGGAAGCAGCCGGAGCCGGCCTCGAGCTCCGCGGCTCCCCTCGGAGACGGAGATTCTAGCGGACAAGCTCGGCTCAGCCTGTATGGTCTGCGCTTAAACGGCTGCATTCGAGCCGTGGCGGCTGGCAGAGCTGCGACATCTTAATGCACCGTCGGGTGGGGGTCCACGATCGGAGCGGCAGCATAGTGAGGCATGGTGTGTACGTTGGCGGTGGTGTGGGGGGTATGAGTTTCCCGTGCATCAGGGGCTGGGAAGGGAAGTGGAGGGGAAGCCAGCAGACAGAAGCCAGTGTCTGACGTGGCGTGCGGGTCCGTTATCACCCGTGTCACACACGGCCATCCACGCGCCGTCCACTCTGGACATCGGCCGACGGCGACACTTATCTAAAAATCATCTCCCGAATTACGTCACGGCCGCGGCGGTCGGCATCGGCTGACACGCGCGGCGGATTGGCAGGTGGCCCGGTGACCTGCCCGCGGGCGCGGCCGCCCGGCTACCGCGCCACGCAACTGTTGCGCCACGAGGAGTCCCGGCGCTGGCCGCTCGTCACGCCCGTCCGGCGCCCTCAGTGCTCCCCGGAGGCTCTCAGTGGTCCTCCCGATCCACGCACTCAAGCGTGCAGACGCATTGGAGGCCTCCTGAAGTAGGGGCAACGACCCCAGCCGCAGTAAAACCAACACTGCTGCTGGGCGGAGCCGAAAGAACTGGTCCGCTTAGACGTATCTCAGAGACGCCTTCATAAAAGAACAAAGGTCAGGAACGAGTCTCTTCTCAGCCCGGCAAACCTCGAAACGCGTCACATTTCCGGCTCACATTCGGCACGACATTATGGGGCTTTCAACCGTTCGTCAACACCACAGCGCTTTACAGCAGCTTTAGATTAGTTATTCCCGATAGCATTCACGGCCTGCCAAGGAGGATGGATCCTGCCATTCAACATTTCAGTACATCCAGCTACATGTACACATTTCGCTGCCACTTAACGACTTCACCCGCGAAAAGCAACACGGCAGCGGCGTCGCGCGGCGCTGTCGGCGCGCTTGCTGGTCGACGACAGGGGATGATCTGACGCTGGTGGCGTGCCCGGCGCTGCTGTGCGAGGGGCCGATCTGACGCTGGTGGCGTGCCCGGCGCTGCAGTGCGAAGGACCGATCTGACGCTGACGCTGGTGGTGTGTCCGGCGCTGCTGTGCGAGGGCCGGAGAGCCTCCTGCGACGGCCGGAGAGCCTCTGCCCATGTCCTCTCTTCGGAGCCAGGCGCACTGCGCACCCGCCTGCCGATGGGGCCACTGGAGTCGCGCCCTGGTATCTGCCGATTGGTCAAATACCGAGCCGGCCGCAGAGTTTGGGCGGGTTGCACCGCGGCCAAAATGCATGCTGACCGTACTCTACACATGCCCCACGTGACTGCTCGCGCCGAGGCCCGAGCCACTCGCGGCTCAGGTGACTAGACTAGGGCAGTTGTCATTGACCTGATCCACGGACCGGTGATATGTGGGTCCAGAGTTACTCGGTCCACAGGCAGCACCGAAATGGTACCAGTCGAAGGCGGTATGCCAGCACATCCCATGTGATGGCATGTGTCACCGCAATCGTGTCAACTGGCCAACTAAGCGGGAGACGAGACGAGCGTGTGCATTTATCATCTGCCATGTGAGGTCTGTTATGTCTAGTCGTCGGCTACTATGCCGTAGAATAACCAAAGAACAATGCTCTCACTTCCCATTGGTTCTTATCTTTCGCTCAAATACAATGCCCGCTCATACATATCTATGCGATAAGCGGTCTAACACGACGTCATTGCAGAATCCTTTTGAGCATCAGGCACAATTTCCCTTTTAAGAGTAGGGAAGTTGTCGACCGCGTTTTCGATGAGTCCCACTTCAGACCAATCCAAGCTATCAAACGACCTAGTCCCAAACGTTAAACCGTGAAGGCATAAAAGAGGAAGATTTTTTCCAGGATTCATACGACACACCATCCGTATGGTAATATAGGTGAAATGGTCACAAGTTTTTGCAAATCAGATGGAATCCATGTGATAGGCGTATAAATGCTGAGATTAGTTGATGAGACCAGAGCCAGAAAGGGCCAGTGGTCCCCCGACCAGACCTATTGACGGCAGATTTTCGAGAAATCCCAACGATGTGACACCATTCGCAGCGTAGCGTTTGTACTGAGTGATTGCTGCACCAGTTTATGAGAAACCGCTAA